GAACATCGTCACGTTAAACTATAATTTCATCAGACAGATATATTGACTATCTGTATAAAAGAACATCGTCACGTTAAACTATAATTTCATCAGACAGATATATTGACTATCTGTATAAAAGAACGATGTCACGTTAAACTATAATTTCATCACACGGATATATTGACTATCTGTATAAAAGAACGATGTCACGTTAAACTCTAATTTAATCATTGTCAAAATGAACATGGTCAATGTTTCTAAACTTATTCATCACTTGGAATCTCCTCCTAAAACCAAACATTGACTAAGTAATCTACTGTTAAAATTAAGCGAAAATCTATAATAAATAATTTTGATACACGTTGTTTAAAACTAACCATCTTCTCGATCGTATAAATATACTATGGAGGTCCACTTGTAGAAACGGATAATGTCTAAGACAGCTAGTGAAGTTTCTGGTTGAACACTGACACCAAAGAGAGCAGCATCAGATGGAAGAATTTTGGGAAACGATGGGCTTATGAAAGGAACTTGAAATTTATTTGTGTAAGATGCCAAAGTCGGGTAGGATTCAGTAGAAGATGGGCCAACAAGTGCAAATATTCCCCGTGATAGAAGACGACATACTGTAAATAGGAAAACAAAACAAATTATCATAAACTTCACACTCAGTATGTAATACAAGTTGGTTTGTGATAAGTCTTACATTACAGTCTTAATGACGTTTATTTAACATAACTAGTACTAGACACGTGAATACAGTACGACTGTCAACTTGTTTTACGCTCTTAATTACAGTAACTATACGTAGTTTATATTACACCTCAAAGTACATTAACACTTAATTACTGTAACTATACGTAGTTTATAGTACACCTCAAAGTACATTAACACTTAATTACAGTAACTATACGTAGTTTATAGTACACCTCAAAGTACATTAACACTTAATTACAGTAACTATACGTAGTTTATAGTACACCTCAAAGTACATTAACACTTAATTACAGTAACTATACGTAGTTTATAGTACACCTCAAAGTACGTTAACACTTAATTATAGTAACTATACGTAGTTTATAGTACACCTCAAAGTACATTAACACTTAATTACAGTAACTATACGTAGTTTATAGTACACCTCAAAGTACATTAACACTTAATTACAGTAACTATACGTAGTTTATATTACACCTCAAAGTACATTAACACTTAATTACAGTTAC